ATATTAATCAGAGTCCTACACAATGGAACTGGTTACACTGAAAAGAAGGCATTTACAAAGAAAACAACACACTGAAGAGAGCTTAGCAATATCTGGCAGCCAAGAGAGATCAAAAGCAAATACTCAAGGCCTTGTAACCTCACACCAGGGCAACATTGCCACTGCAGATGAACAGAAAACATTGCTCAGCACAAAAATAATCTGGCCATTTTAAATTACAACCTGCTAGGCTGCTCCTAAGAGAATCTCAGCATAGGGGACTGAATGTTGTGGCCATATTTAGAGAGCCTATGGACCAGGAGATATACAAACTGCAGTCCTTGTGACAGATCCTTGTGCAGCACTGTTTTGGTCTCACAGGTCCCCAGGGTGCTCCCAGAGACACCTACCAAGAAGTGGGTAGGGACAGGGAGAATGCCTTTCAATTCAAAGCATCTGCTTCTGAGCCTCACACAGCCCCAGCTGAGCATCTAGAGAGAACACAATTCCTGGTTTGGCTCCTAAGATACTTTCCAAACCTCTCTCTGCAGCAGCCCACTGGATTTAATCAGAGATACTAGTTTACAATTTCTGCAATTAAGGCTTCTGTCAGAAAGGCAGACTGACAGGGACAGCCCAAGCCAAGCACCTCAAAAGCTATGCCAGAGCTGGTCTCACAGAGATGTGGCATTTTGATTAACCTCAAAGATCTCAGAGACAGGAAACTGAGTCCAGGTAGTACTGATGCTCCTTTGCCACCTGAATATTGCTCCACAGTAAATCCAGCACTGGGAAAAAAATCACAGAGAGAGCAGGCAGATCACTGTCCATTTGTATTTCAAAGGGTTAGAAAATCATTGAGGAGATGGAAAAACATCTGCTCATCCAGATGTGATAGTACTCTCCCTTCCATATGTTCAATGATAGGAAACCATCCCATTTTTTCTCCTCATGATTCAAAAAAACCAGGAGCCTCAGAGTCCTGGTTTACAGAAGCAATGAGGTTTTAAAGAAAGCCCCCATACTACCTTAAATCATCCCAACTACCACGTGTCAGTGCTCCCAGAGTGGCTTTGGGTCATGTAAGGTTTTCTCTGAGCAAACAGACCATGAAGTTCTATTTCAGGAGCATACCAAGTAGTCCCAAAATCCTAAATGAGAGGCCAAACCAACAAATGCACCCTCAGACAGGAGGGCAGATTAGAACTAACCCAAAGCAAAATCCCAATAAAGCCATGAAGTTTATAGTGTAAAATCCCCAAGCCATATCTGCTGGAGATGTATGAGCAACTGCTGCTCCCCACTGACCTGCAGGTACTGCACTGCTCACTAATGGAGACATTGCTTCAGAGGCTCAAACACAGAAAACCCAAAGCTGTTCTTGCTCTCTGGGTATTCAAGTTACTCCTTCACTTAGCCACACAGATCTTATTTCCATTTACTTTTTAATGTATATGATCCAAAGGCTTGTCTGCACAGCAAAACACTGGCAGGTCCAACTGCACCAGCAACTTTCCCTGCTGGAGACAATCTGCAGGAAGGGTTTTGTCACTGCAGCTTAGGCTTGGTTTCAAAGTGCTTGACTGCAAAGTAGAAAATCCCATTATGTTAAGATTGTGTGCAAATGGTACAATCACACACACACACCCCTCACTTAAAGCTAGTTTTGCAGTAGTGGTTAAGGGAATAAAATGAGGGCTTGGCACAAAAATAGTATTCTGACAGAGAAGCTGTATTCATGCACAAATTCACTGTGCAGATGTGCCCTAACTGCCCCTGAAACAGTTTCTGAATTTGTTATTGGTAAGATTTTCAACCCTAGTAGTGTAATTCTCTACAAGCTTCTCTAGGAGCAACAAGACAATGTAAGGCAAACACTGCTCCACAAGGATTAAAATAAAAAGCTATCTTGTGGTGCTCTGATTAGAAGTGGTCAGATAGAGTAGCACCAGACAGAATATCCTGAGCCCTGCAAGTCCAGCCTGGACAAGGAAATATTCTACAGCAGCTTTGTGGGATCAGGTTTTGATTTTGACTAATAAAGTCTATGGAAGGCAAGAAAAAGACACAAATGCTGCTAAAAACTTCTTGGGTAAAGGTGCAACAACAGGAAACTGAGAGTTTCAGCTTATCACCTGCTGGAACAAGAAACTCCATAAGCTCACTTCTCAATTGTGTTTCATCCAAAGCATAAAAGTGCACCATTGCTGGTGTTTCACAGACCCAAGACAGTGAACAGATTTGGAAGTTTGGTCAGAAGACAACTTATGATCCTTGCAAGTAACAATGCAAGTTAGAAAGAATTTTGCCTTTGGGAAACATATTAATATATCTAAAAGATGCAGAAAACTCACTATACATCCAGAAAATTCAAATCAAGTATGAGCAGAACAAAATGACTCTACAGAGCAGGTTAGAGATACTGACATGGCAGTGATCTCACACAGCCAAGCTCCAGTATCTCATTTGTGTTGGAAGGGACCTGTTGAGATCATCCAGTCCACGCCCCTGCTCAGAGACAGCTAGAACAGGTTGTCCATGGTCACATCCAGCTGGGTTTTCAGTATCTCCAGCCATCTCTCTGGGTAACATGTTCCAGCACATGACCACCCTCACAGCAGAAAACTACACATGGTGTTTATCTGAAGGTTCAGAGACCCTCTAGAAGAGTTATTCCCTGACTGGCTCCCCAGCTGCTCTGTGTGGATTGCTAGTGCGGGACATTGTGAGAGACCTACCTGGAGCTGTGTTCCCTATGTGGCTATTCCAGAAACTGTCCCAGAAATCCTAACTGTTGGCAACAGCCTGCAGTCCACACCAGCCAGGAGCTACTGCACTCAGAGGTCAGGCTCTACCCAAACCAGTCTGCAGTATGGGCCTATGGCCAACCTTCCCTATCCCAAACTCTGCTGAGCTCTAGTAACTTGTAAGATTCTCATCACAACTTGTGGAAAGAGCAGCAGCTCATTCATAAGTTCTTTAAGGTTGGTGTGACACCTAAATAGAAAACCATAAAGTTGCACTGTTTAAGAGGGATTGTGATTTTCAATTCTACCAGAAAAGTACAGAGGAATTTTAGACAATATTGTTCCCTTGCTTTTCTTCTGGATATCCATGAACTGACTGTATCACCTATGACAATACCAAAAACTTACTCTACCCACCAACTGTTGGAAAAAGGCAGTATCTCCCTCCCTGAAATGTTTCTCACCTCTTTGCAACACTCACAGTGAAAACATACACAATACGTGATTCCCCATGCTCTCAACCCAATTTCTTATTTTAACTTTATCATTTATTTCAGTAAAGCATTTGGGGATTAACCTTTAACCAAAAAAAGCTAAATTCCTCACAGAACAGCTTGATTTGTAAAAACATGGCTGAAGTAATGTGTCATTCTTACACAGGATAGCTGATGCACAGCCAATTCTGCTTCTTCTGTCTTTTCTGTCCTTTTCTTGAATATTTACTAACTGCTTTGCCAAGGGGCTTTTCCTAGTTCCACATACCACCACTCCCTCTCCCCAGTTACCAGCATCATTCTGTACACAAATGTGGGTGTTTTTTCAAGCATTTGGTTTTCTCAAAAATCTTCCAGAAATAAACACAAGTATTAGTCAACATCTTCTGATGCTAGTCCTGCTTTAGTGATTTCAGCTCATGCTTTTCAAGCATTCCCTACCCTGGATGCAGCACCTATTGGCAGTGGCCAGCATGACAGCATTGTTTGTGGTACTCTAAAATCCATCATTCCACACAGTCCTGCCCTCACTCAATTCAGAGCAGTTTGAAGTGTACAACCAAACAAAAAAATCCCAATCACAGCCTTACTTGCCCTCATGGCAGTGTGTCCAGACCTCAGACACCCACTCTGCTCCTCTCTGGGAGCTTGTGTATCCCAGGCCTTTCACAGATCAACAAGTCCTCATAATGACCTGGGCTGATTTCTCCTTTACACAGCTCAGCTGCATCTTTTACAATCCAGAGTATTCAAAAGAGGCCTTATCAGTCCTCCTCTTGGGAGAGCTGAAATGTGGAAAACTATTTGACCTTCAAAAATAATTCACTGGCTTTTACCTAGAGGCAATCTGTCACAAACATTGAGTAACTCATTTCACAAGGCCTGCAACAGTCTCACCCTTGAATTCAGTTCAATCTCTGGAGATTTTGTACAGAGGCAATGGTACAGATTCATAGGGCCACAACATTATCTCTGAAGCATGAGCCCTGGTGATAAGGACCCTACTCAGTGCTTCAGCAGGTGTTTCCTCAGCCCAAGTGGGAATCCTGCAGAAAGGAACATCTCTAAAAATGTGTATTATACTATAACACATAAACTGTACCTGGCAATAGCTGGCTTTGCCTTAAAAAGGAAATCCATGCACAATGCCCTTCAGGCAACAGCAGTTCTCAGTTCCTCAAAGACAGATTTAGAAATTCCTTGTTTACATCCCTCCATAGCAATCTTTTTAGTAGAAGCCCCCCTCCTTCAGCCAGGAACAACTGCATGAAGACAGCTCCTTTCCACCCTCATTAAGAACAGGCACATCACTTCACTCTTTGCCTTCAGGACAGTGAGGTACATGAAAAATTAGTTAATAGTCAGTTTCCCTATACCTCCTGTTGTCCACTTTTTGCATTTCTCTACTAGTCAACCATTTTACTTGGAGACTCTGTCATGCTTTAGTGCTCCATGTCCTCTGGGAGGCAACCTCATTTTTTAGTCAGATGCTGCTCCCTCTATTCCTTATTTTCTAATCAGTATCACTAGATTGCACAGACCAGTGGACCAATAGTTCGGCCTAAATCTCCTCATTGTCCTTATATCCTGGCAGACAAAATAGTCCCTGTTGTTGGATCTCACTTGAGTTGCAGAATGTAACAACTTTCTGAGCTGGATGACTTAACAGGACATCACATATAGATGGAAGCTGAAGAGAAAACTATAAAAACCATTTGCAACTTTGGATTCTAATAGTTAACATGCACTTTTAGTACTTCCAAATGGCTTTTTGCCTTACCTTGCAGCTTTTTCAGGACAGCCACTTCCATCTTGAGAACTTGCTTGGGCTGCTGAGCTGATTCCACCTTCAAGGCCACATTCTCACGGGTCAGCAAATCCATTGCCTCGTAGATCTCCCCAAAGCCACCTCCACCGATCTTCTTCAGCTGCAAAAGTGCAAAGGGGTTTGCTACAATGTGCACAGAGGGATCAGCAAGCTGCCTCTCACAGAGCCAGCTCCTCGACTGTGTAGGGAGAGCAAGCTCAGCTCCCAATCTGTGCTGTGCCTGAATCCCTTCACTGCACAGCTTGGCAGAAGTCCAGCTACCCACTTGACAGTGCTATGTATAAATTCTTTGCTCTAACAACAAAGAACAAGCCTAGCAATGACAGGTGATACTTTTTTAAAAGCAAATGATAATGCCTATGGCCTCCATGACGTTTTTGCCAAAATTCAAGGAAAGACCCTTCAAGGAGATAGCAGAACCACTGTCTTTCCCCCCCAACAAATACATCTCTGTGGTAAAAACAAATCTTTCAAGAAATAAGTTAAATGAAGTTTACATCTCATTCAAAGACTTTAAAAACAGAATAAAACATCCACTGGAATCTTTTACAAGATTCTTTACCTGGAGTTACTTCAGTGTCACATTTCAAAGAACTGCTAACAGGATTACCTCAAAACAGTTGGGTACAAGCCACCAGTACAACTCCATTCTTTCTCAGCCTCTTTTTCTCTTTAGTTTGAAAGCCAATCAAATTACGCTTTTTGTGTCTCTGAGCAAAATTAAAGACTGTTCCACAACAGGAATCCATGACTTCAGCTGACATAAACTCAAAGCTAAAGATGTCTAAGTTTCAGCATATTTGATATGCACCTTCTAGAGACAGATTGTCTGCCTGTTCTAGAGTAGCCTCCCATTCAGAGAGCAAGTCAGGATCCTCTGCCTTTCCTGGAAGGTGATTCCTTGATCCTCCTTCTGCTGAGACTTGACAGCATATGTGCACATAGTTATATATAATCATGTATAATACAGACTCCTCATGTGCTGCAAGAGTCAATGTCTATGCCAGGAAAATAATTTTATATTTGTTTCTCTTAGATATATTTAAAGCCTACTGTGCTGCCCAGGAGGCAATTCAGGTTTACACTGAATAACACTTAACACTTAAGAGAGGAAAAGAAGTTTCAGTCAGACAGATAGTCAAACATGGATCTTACACAATGTTTAATCAGGTTTAGATGATATTTTAGTGTCTTCTGTACCACCAAAGGCCTGTCCTGTGCATCTGTCCAGTTTGTTGAACAAAGGGCCCTGCCTACCAAGAGCAGGGTTCTTTCCCCTCAAAGGTGACCAAAATAATTTGCTTTTCTGGCTTCCAGGTCAAGAAGAACAGTTCCACTTGAAGAAGGAAGTGTTTTCCATATTAACAGCTTGACAGCCAGCCTCGTCTCTGAAGCTCTAACTTGATAACCCTTTGAAAGCTGCTGTCCAGAGCAACTTCTTGTCATTTTTCCTCATGACCTTCCACGGGGCTAAACAGGCACATTTATGCAGTAAACAGCCAATAACTAGGTCACCACAGATTATTCATAAATTATTACAGTGCAGCCCTACTTCCACTTGGAAATTCACACTAAGTGAGCTGGCTATTAAAAATCTTTCTTTCAAAACAGTGCTACATTCAGCATAGCAACAACACGTCAGCTAATACCTCAGGATTCAGCAGACGAGATCTTCTGTTGTCTGATATATTAATGAGAAAGGGAAAGGGACAGTAGAAGCTACAGAAGGCAAAAAGGTAAACTGGGAACTGGAGGGACAATATTGAGACTGCACACCCGGCAAAACAGCCAAACTGGAGGACACATAAAGGTCTACAGAGAAACAAATGGGAGATCACACAAGATCAAGATCAAAACTTCTGCTGAATCAGAAAACTGATTTTATACACACATTCCAGCCAATGGAAGGCTGTCAAAGCTGCCTTTGTTTCCTTGCATCCTTGCTCACACTCTTATGGAAATTATGCTCTGGCATACTTTTCCCAGCACACCAGATGGTACCATCCATTCAACATCACCACTAGCACTGCCATACTTCTTGGTTTTTCAGCAACAATGAGGCTGTCAGGAGCCATTTCCTTTGCTTTGGTCCAGAGCAAGCTGATGTAAGTCAAGGTCTTGGCTGAGGTCAGGAGCTTATGTCACATCCATTGCCTCAGTGTCTGGGTGCTCCATGGGAGTTCACTTTCTTAGGTAAACTTGGAATAGCCTTTTGTTGGACACAAAGGAGAGATGGGCACATACCACTCAAAAAAGCCCAAACCAGTAATGAAACTGCAAACATAAAGTCAAGGAAGAGAATGAAGCATCTAACTAGAATTACCTAAGTGGTAATCATGAGTCATCACCCATGTTAAGCCTCACTGCCTTGGGGATATTCTCTTCTGGTCCTGCCACAGCCCACTTACAGTTCTGACTGGGATACAGGCTGCCAACACCAGCAGGATTCATCCCACCTAATGCACGAGCCCCTGTGTGAGCTGGGTGTCCAGGTGTCTATTCCAGGCTGTGGAATCAAGTGAATAGTTCATCTGATCAAACAGGTAGGTATTTGCACTTGGACACAGACAATCAGGAGTTACACAGCACACAAATGGCTCCCTTTGAAGTCTCCTTTAAATATCCTGAATTATTTTTGATTTATCCTGAAAAAGACTCTTGTAGCACAATCTTCCAAAGCTTACTAAAAAAAAACCCCAAAACAACAACAGCAACACACAGCCTTCTCACTAAGCAAAAATCAGTACTTTCAGACACAGTTCAAAAAACCAAGGCAACACACAACTCCAGCCAAAAATAAGCTTGAATACAAATTTCATCTTTTATTCCAGAAGCATTAATGATACCACTGCTCTGAACAAAGTCTGCCTTCCAAGGATATCATATAAAGACTAGACCTTCCCAGGGTGACATTCCAGGACCAGCGCAGGAATGGTTTGGTGTCAGAATTGGTGGAAATGTAAAGAAATGTGCACTCTAAATCCAGTGCAAAGGACCAAATGGGAAGTCAGCAACCCTTAGTGAGCTCAGCCAGGGTCAAGGCTGTCATCCACAGGCTTCAGAGATTTGACAAGGTCAAACAATGACCACTGTGGCTGTCTCCTAGGAGCACTTGTACAGCCAAGCCTGCAACTCCTGCAGCCCAACTCAATGGGCTACTTGATCCAGAAAAGGCCAATAGGCCTCATCTGACTTAAGAGCTCAGGAAGAGTTAACCCTTGTTCACCAAACTCTCCGGAGTCCATTCCACTTGCTTAAGATGACCGGATCTGATCTCAAGGGAAATGAACTCATGTACAACAGGTATGAACTGAGAAGCCAATCAAGAACTCAGCCAGCCACATTCTAAATCATCTGAAGACCTGTCAAAGCCCGCTTAAAGCAATTCAGAGTGAGACCAAAACAGGCCCTAAGTCTGACAAAGAACCTTCCTTGTCCCAGGTTCCCTCTTGGAATAATAAATTGCCTTTCGAAACAAGACAACGTAAAGAATCCACTAAAGTTTTGTGAGGTTTCTGGCAAGGTTTCCAAAATAAACTGGAGAGCTTCAGATCAAGAAGCTCAGAAACCTGAAAGAAAACAAAACATGGATTGCACCTAGGAAAAGAACATACACATGTACAGGAGTCATCACTTGTGTTCAAAGCTCAGTGCAGGAGCTGCCAACTCTGTCTTGCTAATAAGTGTCAGTTGTGAATCCCCAGTAAAAGGTATTCATGTGAAATAAAGAGATACATCAAAATTCAGCTTTAACATCCATACCTAGTTCAAAGCAAGTACAAGTTACATTTCACTTTGTTCCCTCCCCTGAACAAAACTGTTCACATCATTCAGAGCACACGTGGATCAAGACCCTCTGGGGATTCAGCAAAATGTGGCTCCAGTACTGCCTAAATTTCATCAAAAGTATCTGCAAGTAAAGAATGATGACTATAAAGAATACTTCTAAATCTACAAGTTTTGATAAAAACCATAGGCACACCCTGTCCATGTCTTTTTTCATAAATAAGAACAAAAATGTTACTGCTGTCAGACAGCCAAATTTACTGACTTCAAGTGACAGGAAAATGAACGACCAAGAGGCTAACTGCAGAGAACTAGCATCTTCATTTGTCAAAGTTTGTCAGCCAGCAGAAAGGAGGAAAGAAGGAAAGGAATTCAAGGAATACATTACACCAATCTAAAATTAGAAATCGGCTCAATAATGGAAGTATGCCAGCACTAAGAGCTACAAGGTTCAAGCAGATGCCCAGCCAGAGACAGTCAGAGACACTGGGAGGACAAATTACACAAAAGACCTTCTGGCAGTGGCACCCCAGCATCACATAAATATGCCACACACCTGCTTGAGCAGGATCCATCACCCACAGCAAAGATTGGACCATACAGCTGGCACATTCTGGGCTAGATTCAGGAAGATCTGTGACAAAAGGAAAAAATGCTACTCCTGATACTACAGCTGTATGCTCACTTTAAGGTACAGTCCCTTTTTCCTTGGTCACTTGATCCTATGCTGTCCATTTCCTTGGGCCACAAGAAGTATTTTCAGAGCTTTTCCAGATTACTCCAAGCCCCCCACAGCTTGTGGTTCTGACTGGTCCCACACCAGCTTAAAGAAAGGGAAAGGCACAGAAGGGCTGCCTAAAAGGAAAGGGTCTGCACTTCACTCTTTTTTTTTGGGGGGTGGGGGGAATGACTGTTCAATGAAGGTTCACAATGCACAAGTCAGCTAGCACATGGTCAAATTCCCAGCTCTACTCAGAGCTGGGAAAAAAGGATTTCTCATTGCTATTTACAGCCTTTAGCAAGTCATGTCATTTCTCAGAGCCTTCAAATGGGGCAATGACCTCACTGCAGTATTTAAGGCTACTGTGAGACATTATAAAACATAAAAGGTTATTCCTCTAATTAGAGGTAGTTGTTGTTGACAATACAGCTGCACATTTCTATCTTTTCTAAGGCAGAGTTAGTGGGCAGAGCTTCTAGTGGGCCCCAGTCACAGATTCATGCAACAATGAAGCACCAAATCCCACACTTAGTGCCACTACCAACTTAAAAATTGGTTTGAAATGTTCCCTGTAAGCATCACCGAGCTTATTTTAGACTTTATTTGGAGGTTTTGGTGCTTGTAAGAATTCTGCTGTTGCCAAGAACGAAGTTACTTTGTTTAGACCTTGTTACAAAAATACTCCCATCATTTACAGAAGTTTTAGCACTCGTCTCTATGAAGAAGCAACTCCAGGATTGATGAATAGGGAATGGTACAAGCTAAAGTTAGCCAAGGTAAAGGAGAACAGAGAATCCCAGAATCACAGAACTGTTCAGGCTGGAAGAGACCTCTGCAGATCACCCAGCCCAACCCCTCTGCCTCGACAGGGTCACCTGGAGCTGGTGACACAAGAACCCATCCAGGTGGGTTTGGAATGTCTCCAGAGATGGAGACTCCACAGTCTCCCTGGGCAGCCTGTTCCAATCCTCTGCCACCCTCAATGTGAACAAGTTCTTCCTCATGTTAAGGAGGAATCAGTATTAGCAATCATGCACCTGAAGCAAAGGCATCAGGAGAGTGCTGAAATTCAGCTTGGCAAAGAACAAGCACCAATCTGACCAAATTCAGGCTCTGGGGAAATTTCTGTTTGTGCAGGGAGAGACAGCTAAAAGCTGCAATTATTATTTTCTGAGACACTGGTAAGCACAGGGCATGTTTCAAGTCCCCTGTGTCAGTCAACCCATGGATCATCCCTCCAAAACAAGTACAGCTCCAGTCCAGAGCTGCAGGAGCTCAGCAAAGCTTTCCTTCAGCTGTGACAGAAAGCTTTGGGAGGGGCAAAGGGGCTGTCTCCATTTTGGTGTCTAATCACAGAAAAAACTGAGCTTCTCCATCTGCTCTCAAGAAGCCAGGAGAATGAAGAACAGTTTGAATTGCTTAAATATAAATAGGCTGCTCAGCAATTGGCCAGACAGAAAAGTGAAGGCTGAGGAGAATGCTGGAACAAAGTGGAGAGAGGCAATGGGGAGCAACAAGAACAGGGCTGGGTCTGATGAAAGCATAATATTTTGTCTCAAGTGGGCTATTGAAAAATAACCTATCCACAGCCTGGAACTGAAGTGAATTCAGAGTCCCAAGCTTTTTTAGTCCTCTGCTCTCCACACTCCACTGCAAAACTCACAGGGCCACTGTACCACAGCCAGTCAGCATAAAGAACAACTCAGTGCTATCACTGCAAATCACTTGTAGTTCAAACTAGTGAGGCTTCTGCTGGGAGTTTAACAACTTAGAGAGTGCTGGTAATCCCAGTTAAAAATTGAGACAATGCTATACATGGGATTTATATGTTTTTTCAGCATTTTAAAAGCAAAGCCTGTCCAGCTTGCACAACATGGGAGATAAGAACTAAAACTCTTAACATATGATGGTATAATTTTAAGAAGTATCTCAATAAATTTACACAGAAGTTGAACCAGCTAGTTAGTCATGGACTTTCTGGCTCTTGAAGTAGCTGATGTTCCAACCCAAAACATTTGGTTTTACATCATCTTATTGCAATGCAATTTATTTATAGTCATGTCTGTAGTATTCTTTGCCACAGTAATTTGAAATCTAATTTTCTACTAGAACACTATTCAGTCTGCTGCAACAGTTCAATCCTACATAAAAATCCTTGGCAGATTTAGCCTTCTGAAAATACCACTCAAAAACCCTTCTCCCTGCAGTATCTTGCTGACATGTCAAACCCTACCACTCCAGTGTTGCTTGCCAGAGGCCAGGATTAAGCAGGGAAGCTGCTGTAGCACTGCAGGAGGAGGAGGAGGAGGTTTGTTTGGGCCATTAAAACCAGAGCTACTCACCACTTTCCAGCGATCTTTGACCACGTAGTTGGTCGGGAGAATGTCGACCTGTTCCCCTCCACCACTCATGTTTGGTTCGTCCTTGATGACTGCTGCTAGGCACTGCATTTGCCAGCCAGAGAGTATTTCAGTAACTCCCAGTTTAAATGAGCCATTTATCTGAGGGAACAAAAAGGGGCAGGGGAATGAATGACAAAATTATTCCAGGTCGCAGTACAAGTATACATGCTGCATTCTCACAGGTCTTGCTTGTGACTAAATCAGAGCCAGCCTCTCAGGAAAGAAGGCAAACTCACCCTGCAAAGCCCTGAGCTCACTCCATGCATAACCTGACAGATACAACCCTGCTCCAAGTCAGCAGCACAAACTAAAGGCTGACAACCACCAGCTACACCATGCAGGAGCCCTGAGCTCTTGGGCTTGACAATGCAAGGAGAATCCAACACCAAAATGTTGCAAGGGCTCTCATTGTTACCAGGTGAAGAAGTCTTGCTTTAGCAGAGCAGCTGCTACCTCAGCGGCTTTTATGGCTTGCATTGGATGACATCCAACACAAATCAGAAAGGTTTGCCAGGTATTGCATTCAATAAGCCTAAAAAGTCTGAATAGGGTGGAAGGACTGTACAGGGCCAGGGTTACAGACACATCACTGTAATGAACAGCCAAGCAGAGCAGATGGGGAACGTTAGAAAAGGCTCCAGCCAGGCACAAGTTAGTCCTCCTCATACCCTACACACAGTGCTAAAGATGATCAAATTAAAATACAGAGAGATAACTTGTGCCTGTGGTGTTCATCTTGCCCCTTTTTCCTGCTTTTATATGGAGCTCCAGATAGTCTATGTTGATATGAATTTTAAGGGGTTTTTGTTATAAATCTTCAGCAAAAATGACTTTTAGAAACACATTAACTCAGCTTTCCTAGAAGAAAATGAATGAAACAGGCCTAATAAAAGATCTTGCTCAGATATTTTACTGGCTTTAGAAGTAGGCTGTATCTTTTACTAAGCATGGATCTTGGCAATTTTATTGTCATTCCCCAAAAACATGAATATCTTCCTTTCTAAAAATGAGTGTTACTGTAGCACTCTGGTTGCAATCTTAGATTAACAACATAAATGCCAAATTTTTTAAAAATACTAGAGCTGGCCACTCAACCATCACATTTCTTCAGGTTCAAAAAAAAGGCAAAAAAAATGACCAGTTAATTATCAGCTCAAGTAGAGAAAATAACTCATTCCCTAGCAATAAAAGGACTGAGAGGGAAGGCTGTGAAGGGGCCAGTATGTAATGTGCACAAGGAAGCAGCAGACAGAAGTATGTCAAAAGTGCAAGACAAAGGATGATCAAATAAAACATGAACAAAAGATCTCAGAGATCTTACAAAAATCTTCACAAAAGAAGATTTCATTCCAGATATAGAAGATAACTACATGAAAAAAAAGAGCAGCAGACTAACTCAGCAAGAGGGCTGCTGAGAAATGTTCAATTCAACATCTGCTAAAGGATAATCAAAATAATAGAAGAGAAATAAGAAAAAAAGTGGGTATTAAAGAGATTCAGAAGAAAGGTGCTGCAAAATGTTCCAACTTCTCACTGAAAGAGTCCTGCATCTGTATGGGGTAGCTGTGCTTTCAATCACTGGGTACAGAAGTAAGAAACTGGAAAGAAAAAGTACCTGCTGTGTTTGGCAGCACAACATTTGTGCTTCTTCTTCTTCTAATGAGCAAGTGGAATGCCATTCCCAAGTTCCTTTATGCTCACCAGAACACCTGAACCAGCCATCCCTAAGCTACCAGTGAGCACTGAGCACACAACCTCCCTGCACATCAGCTCAGGAGGCACAGCACCCCTGCAAAAATGCCCTTTAATGTTGGCTTTTCTTCTGGTATTTAAAGAAAATTTAGTTCATTATAGACTGCCCCAAACTTTTAACATTACAAACAATAATAAGACACAGAAATAAGTATGCCCTCCCTACTCTTGAAGGTCTCCTCACATCACTTTAGTGATGCATGTGCATAGTAAGATTTCAGTCTGGTGACTGTGGTGGAAAGTCATCCCAAGGAATAATTTTGGAGGAGAGACTGAGCATGGAAGTCCACGAGCACTCAAAGCCAGGCAAGGTACAATCGCCTTCCCTGGTGCACTATTCCACTTTCCTTCATCAAAATTTTAATACATGTGTACAAAGATATCATGTCTGTTATTTAAAGGAATCTGGCTTTGAAATAGAATAAAATTCTCCTGGGCAATGCCATGAATAGCAGCCATTTGGCAATATGGAATTACAGAACTAAGTTTACAGATATGCTCTGGTATCACCAGAGTAATGCAGCCAAAACAAATGCCAATTTAATTATAGGCTGAAATGAATTCCAAGCTGGTTTAGATCACAGTAGCAGCACAAATCTAAACTTTATTCCTGAGGTAGTACAAATACTGCAGAAACATGCTCAGGCCTATGGGCCAAGCATTACCTACATCCATGGCAAGACATAACACATCAAACTAAAAACCCAGGAGGGTCACAAGGGGCAAAAGAAGCAATGAAGGTACCTTTGTGCAGAAACCACCAGCACAGAAGGGAAGAGGCAAGAGATGGCCAGTGGGAGAGTGGTAAGGCAGTTCCTCTCCTTCCCAGTACACAGCAGAGAGCATCATTTCTGCATGTTAAATGTTACCCAAGCACCACTCTCCTTACCTTTGAAATGTACTGACTACTGAATATAGAGAGACATAATTTAAAGTACAGTGACTGTGAAAACAACAACTTTCAGTCTGTCTTTTCCTGTAGGAAATGGACAAGGTGTCAAGAGATTCTTGTATCCCTGTCCCATGAAGTCATGCAAGGGAGTTGAGCAAGCTTAAGACACTCTAAAACTGCTTTCCTAGAAATAGCAAGTGAAGCACAAAGGAAAGCAGCTGAGAAATAAACAGGGACAACAGTAGGACCAAATTCCATCTCTTGGCCAACCTCAGCATGAAGAAGTGTGAAATCAGCTCTTCCACACTGATATCTCCTTCAGCCAACTACAGAAACTTTAAAAACATAGAAACTTTATAGCTTTTTAAATTTAGTCTTGGCATTTATAATAAAAGAAATGCAAAAAAAACCCTCTAATATACTGAAAGTGGCAAGAGCAGTCTGAGGAGTCATTTTATATGCCTTCCCAGCTTTTATTCTCTATCCTAGACACCCATTCCTAGCCAATTCAGGTCAGGATACTGGCCTAGATGGACCTGTGGTAGGACTCGGTATGGCCTGACTTGTGTTTTGGTGAGGAGTGTATTTTCAGCAGAAGGAGTGTATATATAATATATATGTCTTCTCTAGCTGTTCAAGGTGGCCAGAGAACAAAAAATAAAGAATCAATGGGAAGAAATCTCATATACACAGCCCAACCACCTTTACAAGGTTGTCTTCCATACAAGCAAAATTTTAAACAGCTTTATTGGAATAAAAACATTTCCTAATTTTACAGGATTATAGCATTCTTAAAATTAAACCTATAAATACCAAGCACACCCTGTAGGAATTCCTAATGAATATATGAGATCTTTGCTATGTTGGCTTGCTTCACTCCCAGTATATCACAGTTGGAGAGCTCAAAATACAACCCACTCACATCAAGCTCAAAACTCATCAGACATGAGGTGGTTATTAAAGAGCAGAACAAAGCTATGGAATTCTGTCTCCCACCACCTTACTAAGGGTCTTAATCTCACTGTGGAGGTATTGCAATATCCCACTTCATTTCAGGACACATCCTTACCTCTGGAAGTCTACAAATTAGAACAATTTAGACTGCTGTAACCCATGACCCTCTTTACTTGATCAAATTCCCCATCATGAAGCAGCTCAAGAGCATGATCCACCCAAAGAGTGGATCCCAGAGGTGTTATGGAATGTTGATGTAAACTACAGCTTTTTTTTTTGTGTGAGACAAAGTTGGATAACTGCAAAACCAAAAGAAGTAGCCCAATAAACTGCAGTCTAGAAATCAGGTCAATCTCCCTGTCCAATACCTGCATGAGAGGAACAACCAAAAAACAGCTGTAAGTAGAATCTAAACATAATTTATCTGTTCCCAATATGAACATGAAAGAAACAGATGGGCTGGGGAATAAGATGAGAATATAACAAGTAAGACTGAAGCCAGTGGAGTTTCCAAGTGCCACTTCTCAGCAGCACTAGGGCTCACTTAATGGCAGCAGTAGCTGCATGGGCTCAGTGTCCCTCACTGTTTTCCAACATCATCTCCTTCCAACACACAATACCAACCATAAAAATGAAATCACTCACATTGAAACAAACAAAAAACCCTTACATCTTTGTACCATGCACTAGCATTCCGTTATCAGGACAGGAATGTGTGTAACAGTACAGGAAAATAAGTTGATTTAAAAAAAATACAGTGCACTGGACTAACAGCCCCTCAGCCCTGGAATACACCATACTCCCTGCTGAACTTGAAACAGCAATGAAAAACAAGCCATACACTGTTAGAGTAGGTCTGACAGCAGGAGCTCATGAGGTTCTGAATTATTCCTTGAAGACATCTCCCTTCACTGCCTGCCCCTGCTGCAGCAAACCCTGCTTAGAGAGCAGGCTCAACTCCTACCAGCTGCAGCCCAAAGCCTCCTCTGGGACATATTCTTCTCATAGGCAGGGAATGGCACTAACCTGAGAAATTCTGGACTTGCTGTTCAAAGCATTTCACTTCTGTAACCATCAAAACATCTAAAGGTGAGGTTGCAAGATGCTGGGACTATTTTTCATCTTTGAATGGTTTATGGCCAATAAGGAGTAACTGGGAAAAACAAACAAACAAAAAAAAAAGCTGCAATCAAGACAGACTGCAATCAATCAAGGTCCAGATTCTCTGCTAACACGAGGCTGCACTGAGCAGAACATACATATTAAACACAGTAACAGATGCACCTTGACAGCATTATTATGGCTACCCAGTTGCACAGCCAACTGAATTATCACTGCCTGCACAGTGAAAGTAACAGCACAGGACCAGAGGAAATCAAACAAAACCCCCAAACAAACACCACCACACTGCCAGAGACTGCATTCACACACATTACAGAGCAGTCAGACACACCAGTAATTTCTG